TGTTAACAAATGCGGCGAATTCCTTAGCCGAAATCTAACAAATGTTCGCAGTCGAACCTGCACCTTCTCTATACTTTACGTTCTCTGGTTTAGACGGCAAAACCCAAAATGCTGTAGATTCTCATATCATCCGACGTCAAAGAGAGAAGGGAGTAGCGTTTTTCACTGGGCACTTACATTGCGCGCCCATAAGATAGGTCGAATCAGCTGACACGACCCACGATTCTGCGTTTTTGACTGTTTCTGCTATTAGAAACACGCTTCCGTTTGCTTCTTTCAGGTTGATACACTGTACATTTGATGCTGACAACTCCAGCCGCGACTGCCTTTACTATGGTAATTTCGCTGGGTCTTTCAACAGCTACGTCCCGGCGAGTTTTGAGAATTGTCCATCCATGATGTGCAGCGGTTTCTGTAAAATTGAAATAAATATTTTACGTTTATATTAAAGTTAAAATAGAAAAAGATCAACTTACGGCCTAGCCATTATCAACTGTTTTAAGGAATCCATATTTTTTAATAATGGCCAAGTATCTCGTAAAAATGGCGCTCTTCCGGAAGAGCCTCAAACTTTCGTATTGTGAGTTTTTAACGGAGCAACAGATACCGATCTACACACTGTTCTTCTTTTAAAATACACAATGTAAAAAATTAGTACCAACTCCTAGTCTTCGGGTCTCATGCAGCCCTCATCTTTGCTGGCAATCAGTAACCTATGAACGTTTTGTTATATAAAATATATGTATAATTTCACAGGCCTGCACTTCCTCAACTAAGCCTTCCTCATCCACCATGCATGCACCTTTCAATTTAACCAAATGTTTCATACCTTACCTTCAAGTAATTAAGGCCATTTAGTTATATGGGGCCTAGGGCAAGCTTTCACTTGATTTTTTTATTCTAAGGAAGAATACATATGTATCATTTTAAGAAATACATGCAATCTCAATTTTATTAATATTATATAACTCACATATTGGCCGATATTTGTGACATAAAGTCAATCGAAAGTTCGAAAATCTTTTTATTAGATATATGGGGGCTAAGGGAAGTATTGACCCGGTTCATCTCATTTGTAGCACATAGACATACTATTAGMAGGAAAGGATTCTCTCTGAATTGCAATTATTTATTTCACACATTGAGCGATATTTTCGTTAAAAAGTCAACTATAGCTAAAGGAATTATGAGTGAGAAATTTTGTTCTGCTTTATATAATTACTTCTTCATTTGTGTACTTTAAAATAAAGTAATCAAGTGGAATTTAAAATTGTGTTATACGAGAAGTAGGCGTGCTTGTAGTCCGATTTAGTCTAGATTCACACTAAGTCGTAGGATTATGAGAAGCATTTCATCAAGATATCTCAACTTTTACCCATGTTAMAATTGGCACAGACGGACGGACTGACAGACAGACAGTCACCCGGATGTCTCTTCATCCTGATCATTTGTGTATATAGAACTCTATATCTATCTTGCTTAGTGTTTGTTGATATGTACAACCGATAGGTGAACAAAACTAATATATTCTGTAGCAAAAGATTGCAGGAGTATAAAAATTAGAAAGAAAAACTATAACAACGACATTATACCAATGACATTAAAATATCATAATTTCAAAATAACCGTTTTGAAAACAAATATTTCGCATTTATAACAAAGAAAAGCAGAAAATCTTTAGTTAAACCTAAGTCAAAATTATCTGTGTCGTTCCGTGAGATTTCGTTTCGCACTGATTTTGTAGGCTAAGTTATCGCAATGAAACTTTGCACAAACAGTACTCTCACCGAATTTCGAGGAATCTGTGCGTATGGCTGATTTTTTTCCGAAAATAACGAACCATTTTTGAGATATATTATTGAATACAGAAACCATCTTTSTTGTTTGGAAGCATGCGAACTAAGCCATTCCAGACTTGTTTCTTGAAACGTTTTGCAGAAACGGAAAGGAATGACGCGGGTTTTCAGAATCGAACCAAGTCCTGTCTTAATTACTTTTTTTTTAAATAAATAATAATTCCGTCATACAAAASAACATTCTCTTTATTGTATATATCTAAAATTAATCCCAAAATATTTTGTCAACGAGCACACTTTTTGAAAATTAAGATGTCTTTCTCGAGTGTCGGAGTACTAAAATGAAACCATTAAAAGTTAGATGTTTAACCACTGTGATCTCAATAAATCGGAAGAGTGTTTGGTCGGCAGTAATTTCGTTAACAKATTAGCAGCCGTTTTATTGTCCATTGGGCAAGATGTGTATAACTGTTCACAAGGCTTTTCGTTAACTCTCTTTCCCGATTCTAAAGCCTCCTTAATTGCTGTACCATCTAAAAGATAAACGACGAGGGGATTTCTGGAAAGTAAAAATTTAATCTTGTAACATATTTACCCAGAAACATAATTCTTTTTTTTTAATAAATATTTTTTTTTTTTTTTTTTTTTTTTTTTTTTTTTTTTTTTTTTTTTTTTTTTTTCTTTTTTTTTAATAAATATATAATTATATACGACTACATACTTTTTAAAGTCTCGAAATATAATAGGGGTATTCGCTTGCTCTTTCAAGATTGCAGATTGCAAAAATCCCATACCGAAATATACAGGGGCACGAGAGCACTCATTGCAGAATCTATTGATACATGAACGGCTGATTCGACCAATTTATTATGAATGACTATTATGCATGGCTATTGTGAATTGGTGCACCTTCTGCATACATTTTCAACAAACAAAAAAACTATAACAAATCTTTATAATTTAAGCAGAAATTATACTATAAAATCTATTTAAAACTTACCTTCCTCAACAATTTAACGACGTAATATGTCTTTATGTAAAATGGCAGCTAAAACAGGGTTGCAATTATATTTTTGCGTGACATTGCACGCAAATATACATGGGTTTTGATCTGACATATTTAACAGCCATTGCAAATAATTTTCTGCGTGTGTTTGTTGAACCGGTGAACCGGTGAAATACATGCAATTCTTGCGCCGTGTAAGGGTTTTACAAGAGCAAGCGAATACCCCTAATATGTTACAGCAGTGAATAACATTTTTGCTCACATAACTGTTGATTGACAACTTATATAAAACAATAGTCAATACTTTTTTTCATTACCCATAAATAGATAAAATAATAAAATAGATAAATAGATAAAATGAAGTCTACACAATCTCTAGTTTTCATATGCYGAATATGAGAATTTAAAACTTCTGCTTTTATGCCGTATATGGTAGTTCGGTCAATATATTGTTATAATACATTAGCAGAATTAATTTGACGTATAAAATTAACGATATACTACTATAGTTCGAGGGTAAGAGGATACCTCATTAAAATGGGAAGGCCGTTATCTGCACTGCTACAATTTTTTGTTTTACGTAGATTAGCTCAATTTTACTAGTGACAAATTAAAATAGAATTTAATTTTATACTACAAGTATTTCAACATATTGCTACAGAGTAGTAGTCAAAGTGGACGTGAGGACATAAATGACGATCAACATGTGGGACAATCAAAATCCGTGATCACCGGAAATTCCATCGAAACTGTGCGTGATTTCATCCAAACTCATTATTGAAATTCAAGGAAATGGAATTGAACATCTCCAAAACATCAATTTATCGCATTTGTTTGTTTTGCACAAATTGACTGACGATCAAAAACTGCTCTCATCGATAGACGCTTGTGACCAATTGTTCGACCAAATATCATATTTTAACCAGTAACCACTCCGCGTATTCACCTGATATGGTACCGTGCGACTTTTTCCTTTCGGAAAAATGCATATGCTCTTGAAATGAAAGCGTTATGCAGACGTCCTCTACGTATTCAAAAGGCTTGCACCGGCATACTGGAGGCCATACCGGTCAACGAGTTAAAACACTTCTTCAACATGCTTTTTGACCGCTGGAAACTATATTGAAGCAGAAAAATACTATTTTGAATAAAATAAATTGATTTTGCTGAAAAAATCATTTGATCTGTTTTTTTAAAGTAAATTAGAGTAAATTTTGGGAGAAATTCCGTCCGTGCAAGCGATAACTTGAATAAAAATTGAGATATCGCTGAAAGTTCTCTGAGCGGCACTTGGGCGTGGCCAGAAACGATTTTTCTACATATGGCTCAAGCAGCTCACAGTTTTCCGGTCTTAGCTCAAGTTTCCTCGCGGTAGCCAAGAGTATTCGTTTGAAAGCGAAGCATCCCATCCCCAGGAATTTCCTATCCCCTAATTAGGAAGGTGCCTCTGATCAGCTAGGTAATGTCCGATGTCCGAAGAGTACTGGATTCACTTATGAGATCTTCCTTCCCCACGATTTCAGAATCGGCCTTGGTGACTTAAACACCAGGGTGAGCAAAGAAAGTATCTTTAAAACAACGGTGTTTAAATCCTTCGTCTGGGCCCAAAATATAATAACCTGTAGTACTAGATTCCAGCATACGAAAATTCGTAGCAGGAAAGTTTTACGCCAAAAAGCTGCTATCACAACAGCCAACTTTCTGACTACTTACGTACAGCTGCAAACGAAAAAATTGAATTACGGAAGAAGCAAAAAAACTGCTATTACGATGAGGACCGTCGTGTCGCAGTGAGGAGTAAACAGACTGCCTACCTCGCAACGTAAGCGATGTTATAGATACCGAGGAGGGAAGCCAGCTGCATTTGCAAACAAAACAAGAGAGAGGCGGAAATGTGCGAGCATGAACAGCGTTAGAAGCTGGACGATATGAGTGTTGCTCGAAAATTCTACGAGAAGATGCGGCGACTGACAGAAGATTTCAAGACTGAAGAATATTGGTTTAGAACCTCAGGAATGATTTAGTGACTGATGCCCAGAGCATACTACAACTATTGAGGCAACACTTCTCCAGCCTTCAGAACTGCAGTGAAAGCATAAACCGAGGAGACTGATAAGGAGCATGCATCAGCTTCTTTGTAGAATATGCTCTGCCCAATCCACCAAACGGGAGACCTCACAATATGCGTCAACTAGCCCGGGATAAGCCTCCTCAACATCGCATATAAAGATCTATCCTAGTGAAAGATTATAGCCCACCGTGATTGGACCTGTGTGGCTTTTCACCATGCGCCAAATCTTTGAAAAGACTCATGAATAGAGGATCGACACACACCACTGCTTCAATTTCAAAGCTGCTTTTGAAAGCCGCCTTTATTCCGCTACGTCTGAAGTTTGTATCCCCACAAAACTAATACGGCTGTATACACTGACGTTGAGCAACACCAAAAACAAAATGTCAGGTTCGGGCCAATCCGAGCCGTTCGATACCTAACGAGGTTTCCGACAAAGCAACCCCCTCTCGTGCGACTTCTTCARTCTTCTTTTGTAGAAAATAATTCGAGCTGCTGAACTTAATCGAGCAGGTACAAATTTATATAAGAGTGTACAACTGCTGGCGAGCGCCGATTATATTAATATCATTGGCCTCTTAGCGCCTTTAGTTCTGTGGAGAAGCAATTGGCGTCAAACAGCTTTAAGGAGTTACCGTTGGTGGGCTGCTGTTAACTCGGCTATAACCGAGTCTACGCCAAAAAAGAAGAATAAGCCTGCAAATTAGAAGACAAAACATAAAAATTGTGCAGCCGACAGTAGGCTTAATACACAAAACGTGTCGATCAAACTTACTAATGACAAATATTTTTGGGACATCCTCCTTTAAAAATTGGTGAAACCGGGAGATAAATACGCCCACTCCCAATATAACGGTTTTGTTGAAAACTATTATAAACGGGATATCTCACTAAGTAAATGTAAAAAACTTTAAATATTAGGTTGTCAAAAAAGTCTAGCGGTATTTTTATTGAATTTTCAATTGTTCGTAAAATTTTGTTTTGGTGACTCATGCCCAGCTCTTGACCGATGCTACGGCTGCTACTTTATCGCAATTTTCGACGACGAAGCGTGTTGCATCTTCGACCACCTCTACACCAGAACGAAAACGTTGAAACCATCGTTGTGAGGTGCAAATGGAAAAATTTTATTGGCGGCTTGAGATGCATTTTTGCCTTTATCATAGTAGTACTGTAAAATATGCCGTAGAAGTGGAAATAACCTTTGATATTATTCGTATTATTTTAGTCATGCAATTTTTAGATTAATTTCAAGTGCATGCCGTTTTCTTAACAAAAATTGATATGTCAACGTTTATTTTATTTTGGTGAGATAGAAGTTTGGTTTAGAAGTAGGTAAATTTCAAGCATCGTCGGTGACACTGACATTATTTACCATTTTATTCCAACGTTAATTATTTGGTTGTATCTTAATGAACAGTACTTAAATGCCAGAGATAATTTATTTCCATTCTTCTTCTTTATTGGCCTAGTTTTATACGAAAAAAAACTTGAAACACCCCGGTGCTGGATGGACCGCGGTTATTTGTTTCAATCGCGGCCGAAGTTCGCCATCGCAAAAAGGAGTTTTACGCGAAAAAAACCTGACACACCCCAGTGTTGGAGTGACCAGGAAACGCGTTTTCGAAACGCGGCTGAAGGCCGCCAACGATACAAAACTATATAATGTTAAATAAATGTGAAATAAAACGAATAAGTAAACTGCTATAAAAATGAAAATATAATATAAGTGTAAAATTTAATTTAAATGGTAAAAATACATATTTAAAATAGTAATTAAAATTTTCAACTTTAAACGCAAATATCTCGAAAACTATAAGTTTCCGGCGGCTATAACTTGATCTGGAGAACCTCCTCTATCCGACCTTGGCGGGCATACTAAAGTTTTCAATAATATTGTGGYAAAAGACAACGAGGAGGAGATAAAATTATAACTATTCCATTTAAGATTGATTTTGTTGCATATTAAAAATTATATGGAGATGTTCCTACAGACAATAGAATTGTTTATAGCGCATTTATCGAAGTATGTCCTGATAGGGAAAAACGATAATGAGTGCAGCGTTTGTCTGAACGATTGATTTCTACAATTTTCTTTGAATTTTTTTCAATCTCTTCAATTGAATTTAAATACTATAAACATTGTTAATAAATTTAATATTACATTGGTCGAATTCCGATTAAAGCCAGGGAAGTACCTTCAGGTTCATAACGTTACTTAGTAAGACAGGGTGGGGGATGGTTATGGTGAGTTTTCAATAGATTTTATTCATTCTAAGCACAAAAATGCAACGTTATAAGAAAGCACGCTATCTCAATTTAATTAAGATCATTCTCATTTTGGCCGATATTTGCGGTATAAAGTCACCCGGAAGTTCGAAAATGGTTATTTTAGATTAGGAAGTATTGAACCGAATCAACCCATTTGTAATACTCAGAGATATTACTTACAGGCAATTATTCTCTCCACGTTTGAATTATATATCACACACCTTGGTCAATATTTTCTTTAACAAATCAACTATAGGCACTGGAGTACAAATATTCAGTACCTAGAAGATTGAACAGTTTTTAATGGATTCGGACTATTTTTGGTCATAAGGTAGCATGCTCTAAAAGAATTATTCGAGCAAAGGTTAATCTCGTTTATTAATTGCTTGTAGATTTGTACACGGAATTTCAAATTTTGTTACATGGGAAGTAGTCGTGTCTGTAGTCCGATTTCGCCCATTTTCATACTATAATATATATAAGGGTCATGTTATATATCAAATGGTATGTTACTGTCAAGGGGGTCTCGAGATATGTGGTTTCACCTAAAGCTGGGCGTTGCTAGACTCATCGTCTTATTTTGACCCCGATTCCATGAAAAGTACATTATACCATCTAAATGTAAGGCGTCTGCCGGATTCCTTTTTAGCAATGCTGTTATAAGGTTAATAAGCGGGGTTACGATCCGATTTCATTCATTTTCCCCCCATCACACATAGGAGCATTCGGTCTCTAAAACCGGACAAAACTATTTAAAGTGATTTTATGAAATAAAATGAATAAAAATTCATGACTGAATATAATAATGCAATATATTAAAATAAAATAAGTAAGGGAGGGTTAAATTCGGGTGCAACAAAACTTTATATTGAATATATTTGAGTACCTTACATGCAGTCACAAATCATATGGATTAAGGTCAAGTGGATGTTCGAAAATCTTAGTAATAGTTATATGGGGGAGAGTCAAGTTTTCGCGAAATTGATTATACTTTAGCCGCAAAGATACACTGTTATGAATAAAATATGTTCTGCAATTTTTATTGAAGCTTGACCCACATATTGGCAGATATATCCAGCATAAAGTGACCTAGAAGTTCAAAAGTCTTTATATTAGGTATATGGGGGCTTAGGGAAGTATTGACCCGATTTAGCCAATTTTTTATGCAAAGAAATACTATTGTCAGCAAAAGATTATGTGTGAATTTCAATTTCATATCTCACACATTGAATGATATTTTCGGTCAAAAGTCAACTATAGGTACCGGGGTCCACATATTCTGTACATAGAGGCTTTAAGAGTTTTGTTTGGATTTGGAAAAGTTTTGCTCAAAAGGTGGCATACTTTAAGGCAATTATTACCGCAGAATTGTATTCCATTAAATTAATTAATTCTTTATTTGTGTACAGGAAAGTGAAGGAATCAAATGGAATTTTAAATTGTGTTGTATTTTAAGTAGGCGTGATTGTTGATTGTTGGTGACATAGAAATATAATATTAAAATAATATCACATACTTAATTTAGTCGAAATCGGTCTGTCTGGTTCGAGATATGGGATTTTACCAAAAAGGGGGCGGTGCCACTCCCATTGTCCAAATTTCACACCGACTCCGATAGAGCTCCCTTATACCATCTATGTACCAGCCGCAAAATAATTTAGCAGAATTTCAGTATTTAATTATAATAAATAAAAAAAAATAAAGCATAACGTATTTTATGCAAGTGACCAAMMTAATTCAATGTGTTTTTTTTAAGCAGGGAAAAGATGGGGAGAAAGTTTAAGTTTATGTATTAAGTAGAAACTCTAACAAAAACACTAATTTAAATTAAAAAATATTTTATCGTGTTTTTGATATTTCATTGTTTTTCCGAAAAAAAAAAATAATAATAAATTAACGAAATTAATCTTGATAGCATTAAAATTAAATGCATATCATGTCAGAATCCATAACAAATATTTTCCAGGATTCACTTCACGCACACAAAACACCGGTTTCAATTTCCAGAATAATAGAGAGCATCGAGAATAAGGACGTGCGTACAGATTCTCACTTTTGTCCGGTTTTTGAACGAAAATGCTCATATGTGCGTCGGTAGGGATATTATTGTTTATCTTTAAGGAATTTGATCATTTATATATTGTATACATAACTATCTGGATAAGTCTTAGGTGATATATATTACCGTTAATAACTAAATGAATTTTCGACTAATAACACAATATTAGTTAATAAGATACATATTTTGACATGTATTTTGATTGTTTTTATTCCCTAAACGATTTATTTGCTAAAGCACCAAGCAATGTGGTGCTTAAAGCTGGCATGAACAAACGTTCTGTTTCATATGCGAGTACAAATACGCTTGGATTTTTGTTGAGGTTCAAAAAAGGCTGATGTTTGTTTTCACTTCATACCCTGAAAAATGGTGGATAGCCACATCTAGCCTAACGATTTCTTATTTTCTCTTATTATCAAACAGAAAAATTTGCATTTCGCTTCTGTTTTTTGGATTTTATAGAAACCTGAATGCTCTTCAAAAAATATCTGAAACGTATTTCTCGTAAACCTAACCGTCTAAAAGACATTAACGGTTAAGGTTAGTAACTGAATGAAAAAATTATTAAAATTTGTAAAAATTCCTAGTTTTGTAGGAAATTTGCTGCTTCTTTTTTTTAGTTATTTCGTTGAATTTTGGTGTTGAATATTTTTTAAAAGCTTGACTTAATCAAGAAATTATACAGACCATTTTTAGAAAGCAAACATTTCTAAAATGACTTTTTTATTGAGTTATGAAGAAAAAAAAAAAAAACAATTTGCCTTTTGAGGCCATGTTAGAGGGCTCAATTCAATTACCTATAAGACCTTTGAAACGAAATATTTTTTCAAGTAGCGGGATACAAATTTTACAATTAAAGGCTCATACTTGGAGAGCCGTTCTCAGAGGTGTCTATCAACCAATTTTTTAGAGTATCAAGCGAAAAAGTAATCGATTTTTTTACTCACGCTAATATCCATATGTTTAAACTTATAAAAGAGGTGAGATACTTACTCCGAAAGCGTATGAATGAATTTATCTATTTGGTCTGGAACGCCTGTCTTTAAGTTGAACTCGATTGACCGTACATAACTGCATACAGCACGTTGCATGCAACCTGTTGAGTCTATATTGTTTTGAGTAAGTATATCATCAATTCTATTAATCATATTTGAAAGCGATAATAAATCGTTGTCATTTTCACTTCGGCCATAACCGGCATATCCTCCATGGAAAGCACCCAACAACTTTGGAATTATTAAAATAGCGCCAATACCAACCAATGTCCCTAGTACAACTCCTCCCAGGTCCAATTTAATWGGATTGTAAGCAGAAATACCTGTACTTCCCGGATATCCCTAAAAATTATTTAAAATAATAATTAACTCCGCAATCAATATTAAAGATTATATATATACACATATATATAGTATGTTGTGCATATGTATGTATGTTCGTTTGTTTCCAAAATAAATATATGAATATATTATAATGAGGTATAGTGTATAGTAGAGAAATTGACTAAAATGTATTAATAAATATTTAAAGTTTAGCTAATATTGAATTCAAGAGACCAATGATTTAGTTTAATTCTAGCACATAGAATCTATAAAAAAGCCTTGCACAATTTTATTATATAGTATTTGTATACCGATTCTTCAAATGTAATTACCATGCTTACATTTATTGTTCCATATCCAGTTGTGTAACCCAAACGCTGTAATCGATCTTTAGTCGTTTGTGTGTTTGGCTCATAGATGGACTGGCTTTCGTTGAATTGGCCATCACTATTTCTAACATAATGCGATCTAGTTAAAAAGTTTAAATAAAAAAATGAGTGTTAACTTAGTTTATTTATATGTTATAATTATTTATCAGGGCATTTGATAATATGTCTAAACAGTTGGTTATTTTTTAAATCGTGAAACAAAAAAGGCAACTTAGTTAGAATATTCCATTATAACTTTTGTGTAGATTCATATTTGAAAAACAATTTTTTTGGTGCGATCGAACTCATGTCTTGAATAATAATTTGAGTTTTGACATAATAATTGCAACTTTACCCTTACCCCATGTTGATGGTTTTTTATAATGCTTATTCTTCATATTCTCATATATTCTCACTTATTCTCAGATATTAAGATATTGCAATGAAAACACAATATTCAATGTAGTTATTTGATTATTATTTGGCAACTTTACCCTTACATCACGTTGACTGTTTTGTTTTTAAGCAATTTCTTAATATTCAATACATATATTACATTATATTTAGAATATTTCTAGAGTTTGACCAAACCCCAATAATAAGAATACTTTCTTATTTTATAATTTGACCAAACTCGATAAATATGGTTATCTGAGATGTACTTGTAAGAAGTATGCTGCTTAAAATTACAACACATGTGAAATGTACATGTACATACTTTTACATTTATATCTATTCTTTATATTTGCTTTACCGTTCGTTTATAATTATGTAAATATTTTTGAAAGCTGCGATGATCTATTATAGACTTGAGATTAAATTGAGTTGCCGTTTGAAATACGAAGAAGAATAAGAATCGGGTGTAAAGAAACGCGAATGAAAATAATTTACTTGATTTGAAAACAGAAGACTTTAATATAATTACTTAATACGTGTAACACATTTTTTTCAAAGGAGTTTTAGATATATGTATGTATATTAACTCACTCTGAATTGTTAGCATATTTTGGCAATGCTTCACACTTTTGTGCCAATACCGAAGAAAGTAGAATGCAAATCCACAAAATATATGATTTTCTCATCCTTGCTCTTTTCGGGTTATATAACTTTTTTATGTAACAGGTTTACGATCTCATAGACTGCAATGACAAACTGAATCCATACAATAAATGGATCGCTCTTTTATAGACACAAGGAAAATAAATAGCACGTAGTGAAGGACTTACCACATGGGTGCACATAATTGCAATAATTTTGTGTATGTACTAATGGTTGGAGCCACAATGACATTCACATGTAATTTATTTCACAAACTGAGGAAATATTACCACTTTACTAGTGAATGCATCATAACTGTCGTCATAACTATTATAATATTTCTACTGCGCGTTAGAGAAAGTCATTCTACCAAAACCAGCAATTATTTACCAAAAATGAGGTAATGTTTTAATAGCTTAACCAATAATTTTGTATAGAGATATTACTAGAGATATGATAATTAATTGTTGGTATTGGTATAATGACTTTCTCTAAGGTGCGCGTGGAAATAAACTCTTATATAAGYTTAATAATTTTAGATTCACTATTACACAAGATTACAGGCATATGTACATACATCGTTATACCTTTTATAATTATACTACTGCACAGCGAATGAACGGTGATAAACGGTGACTTTAAAAAATGCGGCATTTTATTGAGCGCTTAGTTGATATCCACATATAACAAATAAATTTTGTATTATAGTTCCATAACCAATATTTTTCAACTAAAATTGTATATATTTTATTTTGTCCACACACTAATAAAATATATATTATAATTTTTAAAGCATTACCACTGTAAATGTTTGAAAACTATATCAAAGTGTGATTTAGTTTATATATTAATTAGAAACTATAACAAAAACGCTAATTTCTAACAAATTAAAAAATATTTTATCCTGTTTTTGATATTTCATTGTTTTTCCGAAAAAAAAAAAATAATAATACATTAAATAAATTAATCTTGATAGCATTAAAATTAAATGCATAGCATGTCAGAATCCATAACAAATATTTTCCAGGATTCAGTTCGCGCACACAAAACACCGGTTGCAATTTCCAGAATAACAGAGAGTATCGAGAATAAGGACGTGCGTACAGAACGAAGTCTAGGTTCCGTATAGCAATGTAGATGGCTGAAGGTCAATCATTTAATCGGTTTATTGTAGTACGGTTACTTAGGTACTACAATTTATAGTAGTATTGCTGTAGTTTGTAATTCTCACTTTTGTCCGGTTTTTGAAYGAAAWTGCTCATATGTGCGTCGGTAGGGATATTAGTGTTTATCTTTAAGGAATTTGATCATTTATATATTGTTTGCATAACCCTATAACTATCTAGATAAGTCTTAGGTGATATATATAACAGTTAACAACTAAATGAATTTTCGACTAATAAGACAATATTAGTTAATAAGATACATATGACATGTATTTTGATTGTTTTTATTCCCTAAAAGATGTATTTGCTAAAGCACCAAGTAAAATTTATTAATAACTCTGGTGCTTAAARCTGGCATGAACAAAAGTTCTGTTTCATATGGGAGTACAAATACACTTGGATTTTTGTTGAGGTTCAAAAAAGGCTGATGTTTGTTTTCTCTTCATACCCTGAAAAATGATGGATAGGCATATCTAGCCTAACGGCTTTTTATTTTCTCTTATTATCAGAGAGAAAAATTTGCATTTCGCTTCCACCTACTGAAAAAATGTTGTTTTTGGATTTTATAGAAACCTGAATGCTCTTCAAAAAATATCYGAATCGTATTTCTCGTAAGCCTAACCGTCTAAAAGACATTAACGGCTAAAGTTTGTAACTGAATGAAAAAATTGTTATAATTTGGAAAAATTCCTAGCTTTGTAGGAAATTTGCTGCTCTATTTTTTTTTTTAGTTATTTCTTTGAATTTTGGTGTTGAATATCTCTTAAAAGCTTGACTTAATCAAGAAATTATACAGACCATTTCGTGTAAACTTTTTGTTCAGACCTAKCAATATTTGATGGAAAACTTAGTTCTGAATTGGCATGGAAAGGTTTGAAAGGTTGCACGGATTACTTTATAAGGTCACAAATTTGATAATGATAATCTAATGAATACCAGTATATGAAGTAATTTTCTGTATTTTAAACAAATATTATATGGTGGGTGAGCGTAAAGCCTTTTCAAATTCGCATTTTCAGTTACCAAAAAATCCCAAATACTTTCATATTATTTTTCATCATTTTTCGAGTTCGTAGATGAGCGTAATCGGACCACTACCACGGCCACAAAGGAGCAAGAGCAAGTGGCACCTGTGGACACTAATTTTAGAAAAAGTGGGCGAGACCCCGCCCTCTAAAGAGCTTAATATATATGTCTCTTAAGCCACTGAAACTACAGCAACCAAATTACCTGAGTGCATTTCTTATACGAAATTCTACTGACAGTGTCACTTCCCATATTACGGACCCATATATCAAAAACCGAATACGTGAGAGATATTAAGTTTTACCATGGATATATTAAGTTTGTGGGAGCCGGTGTAAAATTTGGGTAACCGACCAACCGATTTCAAAATTTAGTTCGTGAATTTTCTTCTTACATTCYTATGTCACATTGTGATAACGGGCGTAATCGGCTAACAACCACGCTTACTTCCCATATAACGAGATAAAACTTTGCATGAATAATGTCTTTTGTGTTCGCTTTTTGTAATAGATGAAGTAATTGAGAAGGATGATTTATATTTATAAAATAAATTAAATTGTGGAAAAATACTGTAATTTTTGAGGTTTCTAATGTGTCCGCTCACATCGAAAACGAAGTCTAAAACCAATAAAAATAATACACTAAGTATTGTACACATTGAAAAAGTCTACAGAAAACTCCGCGATCTATGTCTATAGCTTATGAATATCCCACAATAACATTTTTTTTGTCATTTAATTTTTACGACAAATAATATAATTTACGAAGCGATTTGATCTAATACATCATTAATCCTTATCCAATTAAATACCTTAAATACATTGTTGATTTAATATTATGGATTTATGTGGAAAAAATGCGAGGCATAGCGTTTGCGGCGGTATGGTGTGGCCGGGGCAGCTTTCTAACGAGGAATATTTAAACGAAAATGATGAAGTATATGTGTACAATTTCAAACYGATTCCTCAAAAATGTTACAATTGCTAAATATTTAGAATAGTAGAATATAAATGCAATCAGAAACGCAGTACAATGGATTATAACTGGCTCAGAAATCAGTCGATGAATGAGAGTGGACTTTTTCGATTTGCCACGCTTGAGAACCGGCTCACGATCCGCATTCCACTAGAACGAATGTTCATTGGACTACAGTGTGAAATGATGGAGCCATGTTTCCATTATCACACACCGAAGCAAAAATTCGGATTAATTACGATTAAAGAGCACTCCGCAGAATCAGCAATTTGTTGTTTCTGTTAGATTATGATTTTGCGAGGCACCCATTTTGCACAGAGCTTTCGTCTTTTTAGGGAGTCATTGTCCTCGGTGCTCATTTCGGCTTTTTCCAACTTAGAAATCTCTTTTCAACGGTGGATTTCCCTGGTGCAGAGCCCAAATTCAACAGTATTTTCCCGCCAAAAGCAATGCTTTATTAACACACGAAGTGTGTTATGATCCATTTTTTGTAAACTACCACAAGTTGGTTCACAAAAATGCCATATCTAATACAAATAGTTATAATATAACTAATAAAAATTATAGTCACAGTAAAGCGTGGACGGGTGGACATATATAAAAAAATACTAAAGCGAGCAAAAGCTAAAAGTAATTGGTCTTCCAACCTCTTTTATCTTATTTCATGTAATGAAATGTATGTACTACTTAATTTTTCAACAGCGTCAACTTTCATATCGAATTAGGTTTCAACTTCTTAGCTGCTTAACCCATTTACAGCTATTGGTCGATTTATCGACCAGCAAGTTTGAAAAATCACGAAGTCGAAAATGAACAAGGTATGATGTGAAATCAATAAATGTATGCGATTTTGCATCTTTCTGAATCCGCTGCTGAACAGGTCAATGTAACAATTTCAAAAGTTTTTAAGCATCGAGTTTCTTTAATTACAATCAAAATAAAAAGTTGTGGCTGCATGCACGATTTATATCATACCAAAAACACAGTACATCTCTTTCGGTACAATGATCGATTCATATTTCTCAATGTGTCGAATTTGCGCAGCGGTACGCCTACGTATCAAACCTTTAAACTCTGTAAGCTTCGTATGTACGTTGYGGGACTACCCTTAAGTATTTCTTCGCAAGGTAATCTTAGCCTATAGGCTCTTGCATCTCATCTTACACATTTTCTGTTTGAATGAATTGCGTCATATAAAATTCATATGCCCATGATTTCTATCCATCCAGCTTTTGAAATGTTTAATAAGCCGGTGCGTCCATCGCCCGTTGGTTGTTGTATCATAACGTTTTTGCCACTCGTTTACCCTCTTTTGTTTTTGTTTCATTCGTTTTTCTATAGTTATTGTCACAGCAATGTCGTCAGCATATTATTATTAGCATCTTTCGGTAGAGGGAGCCTCAATATACCGTCATATAATATATTCCACAACATCTAGTTCAAAACGGACCCTTGTGGTACCCCACCAGTTACAGTATTTCTTTTGATCCCTTCGTCAGTGTCGTAAAACAGCAGCCTGTCGGACAGATAGCTTTTTATACTCTGCAATAAATATGACGGTCAGTGCGCTGAGTTGAATGCATTTTTCACATCAAATGTGATAAGAAATTTGAGTGCCAAGTATCCACCTTGTACCTTCAATAATAAAATCTGCTATTTTTGTTAGCTTTTTGATTGCGTCGACAATCGACCGCTTTCTGCGGAAACCATATAGATTGCTAGATAATCCATGTGCACTCGGATATCCAACTGTTTTGTAAGGCTTCTGTAACAAGACCACACGCTGTTGTTTCCATGTTTTAGGAAAAGTACCAACGGTTACGCACTTTGTATATAATTTTGTAAAACATTTCCGAAGCGTGAAGAAGCATTTATAAAATCTATGTCGGTAACTATTGGCATAGGTAGATGCACTGATTTTTCGAGGAAACCGCTATCTTCTCCCTTCGTGTCCTGCGTTGGAAAAAGTGTTTCCACAAAATTTTTTTGGAAGAACTGGGTAGGTCAGTGTTTGGCATTTGGGACCTCGGACTTCGGATATAACCAACTTATAAGCTATGCCCCAAGTATTTTTGTCGAGT